TCCCCTAGATATATTCATCAATGCCAGGCACCACATGTATTTCATCCTTTCATAAACAACGTATCTATTATCTTCCTTTCATTTGATTTCTTTTGTTAATTGAACCTCATCACTTCCTTCTCTTACATTCCATGTCACAATCTTCCATAAGCCATGGTTGTCATTGGAACATATTAATCACTATTCACCTCCATGGCTTTGGGCAATCAAGGCTTTATAGTATGATGTTTTTCAGCAGAAAGAAAAAATGCAGACCAGGTAATAGCTTTAATCCCACCCATTCCAGATGCAGCATTCCTTGATGGTGATAAGAACAGCAACAGCCAGTTCAGGCACACTGTAGCCAGATTATCGCAAAGCCAGCTAAAGCCCAGTTTTGTCCCATGCTATCCTAGGCCTGAAAAAGTCTCTAATCTAGGATATTCTACAAAATATTAGGTTAAAGATACCAATAATTATGTCCATGCCATTTTCATTTGTCTCATTATTTACAATAATAGGTGATAAATAAAAAACAAGGTGCCTCCTCTATGGATTATGGAATAAAGAATGTTGGATACCATTTTATTGTGTCAGATTGAATTTATTTCAGTTGGGATTCCCTTGGGAAAAGTGGAGGTGTACTTTTGGGCCACATCTGTTCCAGCACTTTCTATATCCAGACTTACCCTCCAGCTTAGAACAGGTCTTTTCTAAGCAGAATCCAGCAAGAAACTATTGTTCACCTCCAGATTTTGGAAGAACAAAATGACTTTTCAGGTCAGGTAAGAAAGAGCACAAGGCAATGTGAAGAATACAGTCTTGTTGTTTGCTCTCATCATTGACTCAGAAAAGGCTACTTTTTTGCATATGAAACTTTGGCTCAAAGAAAAACATGATTTTCTAAACTTCAAAAGGAGGCATAAACATCATGCTAAAATGTTAGTATTTAGATGTTAGTAATAACCCTTAAAATTGTACATAACAAATACAGCAACTTCATAATTACTGAGGGAAGCATAGATTATCCCATCAACATTCAATAAAGGAATTTCTTGCTTCTTGTTTTTCTTAATTTCTGAACAGAAAACTGGGTTAGATATTTGTTATTTTATTTTAATGTATTAGCTGCACAATTCCAATGGATTTATGACAATGACATCTAAAACCATCATTGTCTATCTAATTAAACATGACCTCAGAGAAGATGCACCTGCAACAACCACCACCAGAGGGCCCTGGGTACTAAAGCAGGGGAGCCTGTTCCCCACAAACTCAACCTCTATTATTTCTAACCAGGATATCAGGAGGCTGAACTTCCTAGATCAACCGGGCTCTGTGTCGTTGTGGGGCGCTCGGGGCAACAGCTGCCTCCGCTGTGAAATTCTGCACCCAAAAGAGATTTGAATTTATTAATCGTCCAGCTCCAGTGGCGGCGGTTTCTCTTAAGCACCCGACCAGAGTGAGAACTCTGACCTCACCTGCTGCGACTACTACTTAAACCAGCAGTCAATCAATCAACCAGAGCCTCTTGGTACTGTAATTGGAAGCCATCTGGCTCAACCAGTGGAAACATGCGACGCTTACGAAAGCCTCAGTTTTAGCCTGGATATTAGACCTCGCTGGTATATGCGGATTTAGGACACTTTCAGTCCAACCCTCATAGGACCATACTAAGTTGAAAAACAAACAGACACATGTCCCAAATGTGCTTTTTCAGGAGGCAACTGGACTTTATTTTTTTCTTCAAAGATGTTTTGCTGCTTGTCCAAGAAGCTTCTTCAGCTCTGACAGGATAGTGGGGAATGAAAATGGTCTTCAAAGAAACCAGAAAGTCCAGTTGCCTTCTGAAAAAGCACCTTCATTCCTGGATGACTGAATCTACAGACCTGGATGACTGAATCTACAGACTTTTAAACATACATGTGTATGTGTATGCAAATTGTTGTGAGAAAAACAATCAGAAAACATTAATTTCTTACATGATTTGCCCTATTAATGTGTATTGATTTGTTTTATTGTGGCTTTCAAATATCAACCATAGAGATGTAAATGGAGGTGAAGGGGCTAGTCATACAGTATGTGCCATTGTTAACCACACCAACCACATTATAAAGGACTGGAAAGAACTGCAGATCAACTGGATGGGGACAATTTAACCTACATTTAGACCAGACAGTTGTGTTTCAGTTGAGAGCATTACACTCTTTCCCCCTTGACTGAGTCCATGTATGATAGGACTGTTGTCTTGATAGCAGGCAAACATTCCGTGGATTTTCCTCTTTAAGATCTGCTCCCAGGGAATGAAGGGCTGGGGGAAGAAATTCTAATTGCTTTCTGGATGCCTTGGTTCTTTAATATGTTAAGGGTTTTGTCAAGGGGGAGCTAGGAAGATGACATTTTCAGCAGGTACAGTTTCAGAGATTTTTAAGAAAAAAGAAGAGAAGGGATATTGACCCCTCTCTGCATTTATGTACGTATGTGTTCTTTTGGAAAGTAGTGTGGGGAAATGTACAAGCTCCTTTACCTTTAAAGATTATTGTGTAGACTGAAGATGCAGGTCTGGTGTTGCTGGACAGTGCTCAGGTCTCCCTTGACTTGGAATTGAGCCTAAATGCCTGGTGCTTCTTGATCCAGAAAGTATGACCTGCAGAATAATGGTTGCTGCTTCTGATGGGGGTTATTCCCCAGAAAGTAGCTTGCATATCATGAAAAGGGCTTTTAAATCAGAATTTCCTGCCCCAGCCCCCCAAAAGAGAATCCCTTTTTCACATAGTCATGCAGGATTACAGTCTACAACATGGGTGTCAAATTGGCAGTGTTGCATTGCCATCATGTGATGTATCACAACGTTTCCCTCCCTTTGAAGAGCTGGGGTAGGCATGGCCTGCGTCAGAGGTGATATTCAGCAGGTTCTGACCAGTTCTGGAGAACCAGTAGTGGAAATTTTGAGTAGTTTGGAGAGCCAGCAAATACCACCTCTGACTGGCCCTGTCCCCATCTATTCTCTGCCTCCCGAGTCCCAGCTGATCGGCTGGGTCTTCTTTTGTTGCTCTGCACAGAACAGAGCTGGAAAGCAGGTTAGTGAGGTGGGGAGGGAATGGACATTTTACAATATCCTTTCCTTGCCACACCTACCATGCCACACCCATCAAACAATGCCACTCCCACCAAGCCACGCCCACAGAACCGGTAGTAAAAAAAATTGAATTTTTGATGCATTCAGCCCACGGGCTGCCAGTTTGACACCCCAGGTATACAAACAAGTTCGACATAGTTTCTCAAGCCAGAAATCCTATCCCATTGACCATAATAACGTCTCATCACAGGTTTAATTTTGATCCAGAAGTTGTGGGTGCTCCAACAATGGAGGTTTTTAAGAAGATATTGAATAACTATTTGTCTGAAATGGTATAGGGTTTCCTACTTGACAGGGGATTGGACTAGAAGACCTCTTCCAACTCTTATTATTCTGAAAAGACACAGGACTACCATGAAAAACTATCATGGCTCAGGGATGGAGACAAATATTGAAAATAAAGTTTAAAAACAGAATACTTAAGAGGGCAGAGTCTGCTCAGGAATTTTTGTTTAGTGTTTTGGATTTGACAGAACAATTGAGAAAAGAGCATTGTGATCATTGAATCAACTGGAGAGTATACCATCTCTGGAGAAGTCATTACAGTATGAAAGTGATGATTACATTTTTTGTAACTTCGATGCCATTTGCTCAGTGATAATGAGGACTGGTATCTTCCAAGTGGACCGCTTATCAGAAAAATGAAGAAGTACTGTTGTTCTAACTTGCCAAAAAACCAAGAGGGAAATTGTAGCATCACCCATACTTCAATTCTGCCCCAACCCTACTCTTCCCTTCACCCTCAGGTATTTTTTTCAGTCAGCTTGGATGGGAATGTAGCTAAGACTCCCAACCTGCCACAAGATCCCTGTTGGATCAGACCATAGTTCCAGCTAGACTAATTCCTTCATTCCCACAATAGATATGCAAAAGCTTCTGGAATGCCTGACATGAGGGGCAAGACAACACTACCTCACACCTGATTCCCTCAGTAATTTTGGGATTCAGCAAAATAAATGAGATAGTTTAGAATTTTCAATCCTCAGTGAAGCGGTCTAGATCAGTTTAAAGCCACCAAACACTACAGACTATAACACCGAATGGCAGCTGGTCTTGATTTTGCAAGCCTTAAAAATCTACAATCCATTGGTTTCACTGGGTAATGGCCACATTGGCTGAATACCACAAAATGTTTTGTTTGAGGAAGCTAAACATCTGAGGAAGGGCACTTCCTTCCCACCCTACCTAATCTTACAAATCTCTTTCCATACCCCCTAATTATTTTTCCTTTTCAACTAAAGTGCCACAAATATTTTAGCTCAGCTGTTTGGGCCTGATGCCTTCCATAAATATCGGGACTACAGATCCCTGAATAGGCCAGGCAACATGCTGGCTGAGATTTCTGGAAGTCAGAATTCCAGAAAGAAAGTCCAATTTAACTCAAGTGAGCATTTTGGAGCTGGCTTCTATATGGTCTCCATGGGTTACATACATATATGTCATAGCCATTCTATTTTAGAATTTCGTCTGAGAACATCCAGCAAGCTTGCTGAAACGATAGAATTAAATCCCACAGCATGGCGCATAGTAGAAAAATCAGACGTACATAAGCTACAATTTTTTTATTTGATTACTCCTAACCATCAACAAAGAAAATCAGAGATTAGAAACTTTTTCATCTCTATTAGTCAGTTGGGGAAAGGGGTCCTAAAACAGAAAAATGCTTGTTTGCTTTAGACAAAAACAAATGGGGGAATAGGACAAAAGCAAAATCAAGAGAAGCATATCATGTCAAACAGGTACCTCAAAAGCAATAAAGCAAAAGAAATTCTGAAGGAAACATGACAGTAAAGCAAAGGAAATTGGTTGGGAAACACAGGCAGATAGGATGAGAAAGAGACAGGGTTACAAGACCTTTTACTAATACATCATCCATCTATAATATTAATCCTCCAATTTGGTGTTTCAAAGAGTGTTGTGGATGTGCAGAATCACAGCATGTTTGCAGTAACTCCACTCTCCCCCCAAGGCCAGGATTCCAGTCCTCTGTGGGCATCTCTTCAGTAAGCATGCCACAGAGTGTGAAGGGCAAGATGGATTCTTCCAGGTGGATTCTTCTGGAACACAAATCTGAGGTAGAATTTGAGGATCGTACAGCAGCTGGAGAAATAATTTACAACCTCAGCAACTGGGAAGACAACCCTCCCTCTATTTTTATCAAACTTTACTGACCATCAGGACTCAAAAGTGGCTTTGCTTGAGGCCTCTCCCATCTATCCCCCACGCTTAGAATTCTCCCTGATGCATAACTTCGCTTTCCATAGCCTCCACCAGCAATCACTTCTTCTCAAGAAAGTTTTCTCAAACTCCAAGCTTCTTCAGGTTTCGCCAGCGCCTTTTTTTCCTCCCCAATTCTAGGGACGTCATGCTCCAGTGATAAATGCTAAATGTTAACCTTGCATGTCCAGGAGGTTCTTCCCTCCCTCTGAGTTTTTATGTCCTTTCGTTATATTTCTAGCCTGCTCTTCTCGAGATTAAATTCATGTTCTGCTTCTTTTTCCCCTTACACTCGCATCAATCCAAAATTTCTGGGTATCCTTGTTCCTTTCCTTTTTATAGCACAAGGAGCTGTTTGTCAACACCTTCTCAATAGGCCCTTCATAAACGCCACTCATAATTCTGACACAAAAATTACGCAGCGGACCCAGGATCAATGCCTGAAACGGTTTCTAATTTTCTTGAAAAACAAAAGGCTGGCCACCTCTGAATTCTTCCATCATCCATAGACCATCCACATATATGTTCCTCATTCCCGTATCTGGATTCTTCTGGAATCTATCTATTGTCTATTCTCCATACATTACTCCTTTGGGCCATCTCAACCCAAATGAACCGACATCCCACTCCGTTCCCTTGGTTAAGCAAAGCCACTTCCCTGCCTAAGAACGAACCACTGTGACCAATCTATCAAGAACACCCAGGTTAAAGCACCAAAACCAAATGTACCTGGTGGACTGGGACTTATTAAACCAACACTCCACATAACTATAGGAGAGTCAAGTGTTTTCTACAGTTAATGCTGGAAAAGAAATCCAAATATTTCTGGGTGCACTAACATCTCTCCAAATTAGTTAAGGAGAAACTAAACAGCTAGGATTCCAAGAACCAAGAAAAAATAGGGAGGGTTTTTATCCATGTAGCCCTCCCCCCCAAACTATGTGTCAAGAATGGAATAGTTTGATATTAAGATAGTCTCTAGATATTCAGGTACTACAGTACCTTCTAATTATGGTATTCACTAAAATACAATTGGCCAGCATAAAGCCTCAGATGTTTAGGTTCTTTAGTCAATAAAGCTTTTTTTCCACATTCAAGAAGCTTACAAATGCTCGTTTTCAGGCCCCCATGCAGATTTCCACAGCATTTACTAAAGTCTCAGTCAGGCATATTAAGGTCTGGAAGTCAGTCTTCAGCATTTGTTAAAGCTTCATTATCCAGAGTTTAAAATAAAAAAAAGGATTGTGAGGGGGGATAATTGGTCTATCCGAGGCAAGGCTACCAATCTACAACATAAAGATGAACAGGAAATAAAGCTTTTCCCCACAACCCTGGGGCACACTGATATGTACAGTATCAACTAAATGTGAAATAAAGTCATCCGCGTGGACTGTAAATCAGGATCCTCATCACCAATGAACATGGTTACTATCGTCTTATTGACCAATCTTCTTTCATATACTAGTGAAAGCCATACCCCTCCACCAAGACTTTTCTGTGAGCTTCCTAAACTGTTCCTAAACTGTTCTTCTCTCCCACCATGTTTATAACATCGGGTCCTGTTGCAAGAGCTGAAGAAGTACTGGAGTCTCCACAACCTCAGAACATCGGCAATGGCCTTCTCTTGCAAGGGGTTCTTGGCTGTTAAATACTGGAGAACCCGTTGCCTTCACATTTCAGTTCAATTAAATGTTCCTGGGGGGACTCCTTCACATGGCACCTTTGATGCTTGAGCAGGTTGGCTCGGCGGGTGAACCCCTTCCCACAGCTGGAGCACCGGAAAGGCTTGGTCCCAAAGTGGGTTCGCTGGTGGATGAGGACTTCCAAGGTGGTGCTGAAGCTGCGCCCACATTCGCTGCACTTGTAGGGCCTCTTGCCTAGGTGACTGAGCTGATGCTTGAAGAGCTGGGAAGTCTGGCTAAAGTGCTCAGGGCAATCGGGGCATTTGTAGGGTTTCTCCCCCGTGTGGATTCGCTGATGCCTTTCCAAGTGGGAGCTCCAGGCAAAGCTTTTTGAGCAATACTGGCACTTGTGGTTCTTCTCCATGGCGTGACCTCGCTGATGAGCTAGGAAAGCAGAGCTATCCCCAAAGCATTTGTCGCAGTCCCCACATTTATAGGGCCGGATATGAGAGTGAGTCTTGTTGTGATGGAGGAGGTGGACCTTCTGGGCGAACTTCTCCCCACAGATGGGGCAGGGGAACGGGCGCTCCCCAGTGTGCACCCGACGGTGGCGCTCAAGATGGGATGCCCACACAAACCCTTTCCCACACTCTTCACAGAGATGGGTGCGTTCACGGTGGTGTCCCCGCTGGTGCCGCATCAGGGTCTGCCGACTCCGGTAGACCTTGCCGCAGTCCTTGCAGCCCAGGTGGGTCTTCTTGTGTTCCTCCAGCTCAGAGATCTGAGCGAAGCTTCTCCAGCAAGCAGGGCAGTTGTAAGGGCGCTCACCCATGTGGTTACGCCGGTGCTTGGCCAAATGGGCACTCTGGCTGTACGACTCTCCACATTCAGGGCACTTGAAAGGCCTCTCTCCGGTATGGACCCGCCGGTGCCTCTCCAGATGGGAAGCCCAGATGAAGCACTTCCCACAGTCCGAGCATTTATGGGGCTTCTCTGCGGTATGGCCCTTCTGATGGTTCTCCAGGGCTGAGCTCTGGGCAAAGCGCTTCCCGCACTCAGAACACTTGAAGGGTTTTTCGATCAGCTGGGCACAGCTGTGCTGCAAGAGATGGAAGTTCTGGCTGTAGGCTTCCCCACAGTTGAGGCATTTGAAGGGCTTCTCTCCCGTATGCATCCGCCGATGGCGCTCTAGGTGGGAGCTCCAGATGAAGCACTTCCCACAGTCGCTACACTGGAACGGTTTCTCCCGGGCGGCGTTGGCTTCGCTCCGCTGACGGCCTCTGCCGGTGGAAGGAAGGGTCCTCGTACAATCTGAGCAACGTCTCTCCAGGCTTTTTTTCAATGCGTGTCCACGCTGGGTGGCTTTGTCCTTCTTCACCACAGGAATGATCTTTGGCTGCTTGGGAGTTTCCCGTCTCGTCAAGGGCTTGACCTTTCTGGGCACGCTTTGAGAAGTACCTGGCCGCAATTCTTCCACATCCTCCTCATCCTCATTGTCATGGTTACTGTTGTTTAGCAATTGATTAGCTGCTAAGACAAAGGCAAAAAAGTTAAACTCCTGGCCAACATCACACCCAGCCCATGTTATACCAACTCTTTTAATTTGGTGTTTTCATCACTGAAATATCCAAATTCCTGGCAAATGTCATAAGTATAACTTCATTTTTTAAAAAGCTGTTTATATATATATATTATATTGTTTTATAAAGAAACATTAGAAACAAATATATTATTTACTACTTCTGAAAGGAATGCATATAGCTAGAAATTAACAAGTCATAATATTTAAAATAAGACTATAGAAGATGTTTACTCCCCCACCCCCGCAGCAACCATTTGAAATTCAATCAATCAATCAGAATAGAGCTGGAAGGGACCTTGGAGGTCTTCTAGTCCAGCCCCCTGCTCAAGCAGGAGAACCTATATTACAAAAGCAAAATAATTCTATTTTCACTTTTGCTTATCATGTACTAATTTAATAGTGCTTTAGGAGCAGCAACGAAAAAGGAAAAGGGGGCTATATAAATATTTTAAATAAGCAAACTATATAAATTTGGCAAATGAATTCACAGCCTTCCCCAACCTGGTGCTCTTCATATGTGTCAGACCACAATTTCTATCATATACTTACTTAGCACTTTTCCCAAACTAGCAAATGTATTACTGTTGTTATAGCCTAACGCACTAGAGGGCGCTAGAGATTACCATAAAAATGGAGCGCCATTCCAATGTTATGCTGGGCCAACTAGCCTAATCCCTAGTTACAGTAGCTACCAATTAGAGATTACAATTACAGTTATACTTCCACCCACCCTTTTATCCTTTATTTAACAAGAGAACAATTTTCACTGCATAAGGAATGTTTTTCTCCTGGACCCTCTAAGTAAAAGTAACATTTCCACCATCGCCAATCCATTCCCACCAAGCAGCAGATACACCAAACAGACTAAGAATCATGGTTCAAGTTCTTGGGATACTCTAAAGGCTAAAGGAATCAAAAAGGCTTGAAGCCAGGTGGCCAATATGAGGTTTGCAAAGAGAAAAGGAATTGGGAAAAATGCACTGAGAAGGAAATAGGGTTGTGCAAACTCCAAGGAGAAATACTTAAATCAGGAGTGAGCAAATATGGCTCCCTCACAACCTGTGGACGACATGGTGGCTGGCTCAGGAATTCTGGGAGTTGAAGTCCCTAGGTTGTAAAGAGGCCATAATTGTCCCCCACTCCTTGCTTAATATGGAGGGCAAAAACAGAGGGGGGGGGACCCAAATGGGTGATTTAGGATGTCACCAGAAAAAGAAATGGGAATCCTGGAGAAAGAAAGGTAAAAGATACAAGGAAAGGAAGATGGGGCAGGGGGGCACAGGGAAGGTAGTCTAGGGCATCCATTTTGGAACATAAGTGTAGTTAACAATGCAGAACTGGAGTAGCAAGCAGCTAATAGGATGCAGAAAGTCCAGACAGAAAATCATGAAATAGCCTTTTCAAGGAAAAGGAACACCTCAGCTTTCCCACTTGTCGTACTTCTCATCTTTTTTTCCCACTGACCAGGAATACTAACCAGGACCAATAAGTATCCAGAAGAGAGATTCTTGGGCAGCTACTGTTGTTCTCCTGCTCTCTGCCATCAGCTGAGGCTTTATTCTCCTCTCTCCTCCAAGAAGGCAGCCAGGGAAAGACTGAAGGACCTTTAGGCCAGGGAATGGTTATTCGTCTAATGGGTGGAGCCCACCGGATTTTTTTTTAAAAAAAACCTCCCACAGAGGAAATGGGAGGAGTCAAAACTCAGAGAGGGAGGGAGGATATAGGGGTGGGACAGGTTTTCCAAAACTTGTATGGCTTTTCCAAGGGACACCAGAGGGGATCCCAAGCATTTAAACTTTTGATGTCTGGAAAAACAAATCCAGATATGTGCCCATCTAAAGTATAATTCTACGCTGGCTCAGGAATTCTGGGAGTTGAAATCCACAGGACTTGTAATAGCCATAGTTGGTTTAAAGGAAAGCACACCTGACTTTTGAAAAATGAGCCCAGCATTCAACTACAATGAGAAACTTGGTTTCATACAGTGAGACTAGGTTAACACACACACACACACACACACACACACACACACACACAGAGTAGGCATATAAATAGGACAAAAAAGCCAGGAATCTTGTCTAAAAGATCCCGCCGGGGGAGGTAGATAAGAAGGAAACCAGTCCTTAAGGGAAACAAAGGGACAAAAATGTCACCTGAATCAAACAAAGAATGTCGGGCTGTTAGTATGTGAATGAGGAGCCATAGTAGCCTATGATGCCTGTGAGTGTGACAATGCCATCATTATCACACTCATTGGCTCCAGTGCAACAAGCTCCATCCAAGACTTTCTCATAAAGAGTTAAATGACTTATCTTTTTTTGTCTAGCTTTCAACACCCAAGGAATAGCTCTACTTCTCAGTGTAAAGCTGAGTAAAGAATGCTTAGGTTAGTAGATAAGTACTCAAAAGAAATTCACTGAGCGGCTTTTAAAAAATTCAGTGATTTGCATATCTCATTTGGGACAAAAATCACTATTAAAGTCTGCATGAAAGCCAGTACACTACAAAAGTTAAAATCCATTCCACTTCCAGCCAGCTTTTAAGTGGAAAGTCTGGTTAACTCACAACAAGCCAATCAGATTTCTGCCTAGTGCATTGTCAGTCTCCAGCTTCTAGATCAATGTTAATTGAGTAAATCATGGGTTTTTTTTCATCATGAATGAATGTGCCATAAAGCTAGTCACCAAGTGGGGTCTGAAAAGTCCTAGGGAAGAAGGTATTCCAGAGGAGTGACCATGACATTAACATGTTTGCCTCAGTGGTGGGATTCAAATTTTTTTACTACCGGTTCTATGGGCGTGGCTTGGTGGACGTGGCTTGGTGGTCGTGGCAGGGGAAGGATACTGCAAAATCCCAATACCTTGCCACCCCCCACTAACCTGCTTTCCAGCTCTGTTCTCCTGTGCAGGGCAACAAAAGAAAACCCAGCCAATCAGCTGGGACTCGGAAAGCAGAGAAGAGATGGGGGCGGGGCCAGTCAGAGGTTGGTTCTCCGAACTACTCAAAATTTTCGCTATTGGTTCTCCAGAACTGGTCAGAACCTGCTGAATACCACCTCTGGTTTGCCTCCCTCCCTCCCTCCCTCTCTACAAAAAAGTGTCTCTTTTCTAGATCTTACTATGTAGGGTTTTTTTTTTAAACAGAACAAGTTATGGGTAACAGTTTTAGATAATGGTTTTCTGTTGTCTTTAACAGAAAGCAAGCTCTTAAATCTGTAAGCCAGCTTTCTGAACCTGCAGCCTCTCATTAGCCATGTTGGCTGTGATAATGAAATTATAGTATAGACTTCTCTGGAGGATACCACGTTGAGAAAAAACTAGTCTCTTGGTCCTTTAGGATAACTTGGCCTAGCTTTTGATTCTTTCATATCAGTGTTCATATTTTCCTCTTTCTAAAAGAAAGTTCTATCCTATTGTGTAAGCTCTGCCTACAAAATGCTAAAGAAATTACATTTGAAAGGCTTTGCATTAAAAAATATTTTTGATTTCTAACATATATATAGTTTCTTTGTCCTCTTGAATTCTTGCTTGAGTAGAAAGGTGGGATATAAATCAAACAATTAAATACAGAAACCAGTGGTATGGGATTTCAATTCCATCTTTGCTTTGGCTGAACATCAATTTCAGTTCCTGTTTGTTTGGAAGTTACTTCCAAGTAAAGAAAGTGGAATTTGAACTGTAAAGGCAGGAAGAAGCTTCACTTGATTACGTGGGTGAGTTGTTCAAATCTGTATGATCTTTAGCATCCAAATTGCATTTATGTAGATCTTGCAATAATTTTTTGTGCAGTCTGAAATTGCAATCCAAAATTTCTGTATTTGCAGATGTGAGACTTGTACAGAACAGGATCAAAAGTCTCCAAGGCTATTATGAGGGAGATTGTGTGATTGGAATCCAGAAAACTGTCTTGATCTCTGTAAAATGAGATGTTAGATGGAATTGAATGAAGGGAACCAAGATCCATTTGGCTTTTGGAACAACTCATCTCAACTCTGGAATAACCAAGCAGGGGATGGGTTAACTCCAAACAATTAAGTTCCTTTACTCAAAAACCTGACAATTGCAGCTACATTAGCTAGAATCTTGCATTTAGAATGTCACAACCATACATGGCCAACATTACCTATTCAAGGAGTACACTTTTTATTTTACTAACTGCAAATTATGCAGAAGAGACAGGATTATGAGGCAGGACCAGAACCTGCTAGTAAGATTCAGGAAAGTTAGTGAACTGCGCAGCTTCATTAGAAAAATGATAGTTCTCTATTCTGTCTTTGCTACCTTCTCATTGAAATGAGCAAAGAGCAGTCAATATGGAGATCCATACATAGACACACATTACTGTCTCTAGCGCCATAGCCTCACACAACTTGCTTGCTATTGCCGAATTCATTTGAAGGCATCATCTATCTCCTCCAGTAGGCATCTAAGAATACCGGTATTCATAGGAATCTGATACAAATTACAGGGACAAAACAGCTCTTGTGAAATCAAGATGTAAATTGTAAGCTTTCCTACTTGCATTCTGACATAATGACAGAAATCCATGGTAGGTATCACAGCAAACAGCAAACATTTCATCACTCCTCACAGCAAACATTTCATCACTCCTCAGCCAGCACAATCACATCTGAAGGACCAACACAGTGAGGAAGATGATCCAAGTAGTGGTTTAGAAGGACTGTTAGATATAAAGAGCTAACAAGCTCCAGTCTGAGTCATGAAAGGTGCAAGGTTTTTTTACTCTTCCTACACTATCCGCAAGTAAATCAAACCAATAGTACAGAGGCAATGTACACATTTTAGACTTGGATTTCTAGCTCAACAAGTCTGAGAACTGTTTGGAGTAAAGCCTGTTCAGCACGTCTCTCCTAAGATGCAATGATGTACCCCCCCCCCCCCAAAAAAAGTGCCCTGGATTCTGGCCAAAGCCTCAAACAAGACTGAAAATCACTCCAAAACAGAGCTCTCTGATAACTGTCCAATTAAACCTTAGCTGTGCTGATGCTTAAGAAGTCTGATATTGATTCTTTTGGAAAGCATGCGCGCTTGTTTCCCTTCAACCAAATGTCAGCATTCCAAAAAAACTTCCCATTTCAATTCAACACTCGGAGACAAAGTCCATCCAAGTAAGAATTCATTTAAAAAGTCATGTTGGCACATCTGGGAAAACCTGAATCTGAAACTTCTGGCTTTTCCCTTCCCCAAGCGAAAATCAAAGATCCATCCCCTGCACCCATCTGTCCATCACATGGCCCAATCAAACGTCATTCTATCTGAAGCCAAACCTTCACCCGCTCCCGTCCAGGTGCAGGCTAACATGTCCTTGACTTGTAAGAAGAATGTTGCTGAGTCTAATCTATTACTCACTAAGAACTCCCCACTCCCAAATTCCCAGGCACTAACTGTGACAGCCTCGAAGTTTCTAAGAAAATATACGGCTAATAAAAATATGGCTTCCATTGGCTGACACCAGATTCTTTACTCTTCAGGGATCTGGAAATCTACATGTTCCAACCAATCATTATACCTAAAATCACAAATGGTGATCCAGGACACAAACGTTTATCTTTCCCCCTCCTCATAAGTCCATTACGTGGCCAGAGAACAACCCCAATCAATCAAATCATTCCTATTTAGAACACTGAATTGAAGAAAATCAGTGTTCTTCTTAAACTGAGAAAGACACATTCTGGTAGAGAGAAGTTCCCCGAGGATGGGCTCCAGTATGAGTTCGAAAGCTCAGAAGACTAAACCTCTGGTCCCAGTGACTGACCCAGACTGGATCGTGCAACATTATCCCGGGGCATATATATTTGCTTTCATATCTGAGAAAGTTTAAGAAGAACTGCAATACAGCACTTTAATGTATTACTATGATATCCATGGGATCAACCACCACTTTTCCAACTGCAAAAGAGATGGAGATGATCTCTTACATCAGTGATCTCCAACCTTTCCAGCTCAGCAGATTTGGGGGTGGGGGTGGGGAGATAGTTTTGTGCGTACACATGCACTACTTTCACAAGCGCAACTTCATGCACACGCATTCACCCACCACTTCCGCATCCTGGTTCCAAACTGGCAGTGGCCCCCTATCTTACATCACATTCTCAATGCAAAAGCAGTATAGGAAGTCATTCTTCCTTCTGCAGAATCCCGACATCAAATGAAACAACATTCAGCCTGAGGCATTCTTATACATGCAGGAGTCTTGGGAGAATACCCAGGAACAATTGGTATGTTAGAAGCTATGCCATCCTTCAGCACATGTATGAAGGCTTCTAGCAAATCCCAAATGTTTTCTACCCATCCCTTTCATTCTTGTGACACCCTTATGAGTCTAAACTGAGAAATATGCAATAATGCCCAGCTCGCTTTATATTGAGTAGAGTTCTGGAGGTGGGGGGGGAGAGGTGAGAGAGATTGTTTATTTAAACATTTCCTTAGAGAGATGCATACCCCTTTGTCTTAAGAACAGTTCAGAGACTCAGCCCTTTCCTCACATGTCTCATCAGTTAAATGCTACTGATGGCAGATGACAAGAGGCTGTCTTTATTGGACCTAAGAAATCAAATACAACTATGAGCAAACAGAACAGTGACTCCAAAATAGAAGAAAAGGGGAGGGGTATTCTTACCAAGAGACATGAGCGTCTCATAGCTTTCTTGCATAACATCTCGATACAGAGCCTTCTGACGCTGGTCTAGATACACCCATGGCTCCATGATACAAATAGTGTTCTCAGAGGCTTACCAGCACCTGTCAAAAACAAATTAAATGCAATGGATTTCACTGAAGTAGACTTCCCTTACTTGGAGCCCTCCCATTGTACTTTGCAACCCAGCTGCATTTTTTTCCGCATCTTTGAATTGGTCTCCCACACTTGTAGCAATCATTGCATCTGATTTGATCGATGTTAACAAAATATTCCGTAAGCATAAAGCATATTTTATCTGCTTCTAGATTGATTTAAAAATAAACAAATAAACAAGCCAAAGGGGAACAATAATGTACTGCAGTAGCCAGTTAAAACAGCAACAGCTGCCCTACCACAAAGGGATTTTGGGGGCAGGACAGAAGGAGTAATTGCCTCTCCATGCCAATAAAACTTATAACCATAAATACGCAGAGAAAGAGAGCTTCCCCTTACAACCAGAAGAGAATTTCCCATACAAGGCCCCAGGGTAAAAGCCCATTTGAAGTGCTTTTCATGCACCAGACTCTTGCAGGCATCTGGGGACCAGGCCGCTATTCTTGGTTGCCATGGCTTCCAGTTTCAATACAGAAAAGGTTTCACAGGCCTTTAAGGACTTTTACATTATAGGCTTACATTGATTCCATAACTGTGTTTTCCTCTCTCAGAAAGAAACCTTGGACGTTATCCTTCCAAGGACATTTTTTTTTGGGGGGGGGTAGTGTGTGTGTGTGTAAGACTTCAAAGAATCCCCAGCATTTTTGCAAAAGCAGGATCTGCCAGACTTTTCCAAAAGTGGGGGAGCTTCCTCAATCCTTTCAATTCCCCCAAGCAGTTTAGTGGTTAAGGCACTAAGCTACAAAGCAAAAAGTCCATGAGTTCTAGTGGTACCTTAGACACAAACACAGCTGGGTGACCTTGGGCCAGCCCCTCCCTCTCAGCCCTAGGAGGAAGGTGGGAAGGGAGAGCAAACTATTTCTGAAAAAATAAGGCCAAGAAATCAGCAAGGACTGAAGCAAACTCATTCCCCTGGGACTACCGCTAGTGATATCTGCAGATTTTAATTTTTTTTTAACATTCATCACAGCTTTCTTTTTTCCAGCTTGGTTTATTTCATCTCTCGCATCTTAAAAAAATACTTTATTTTTTTTAAAAAATCTACATAACTGTCCAGTAGCAGCACAATCTTCACCTCCTTCTCAGGAAGAAAAAGTGCTCAGCTAACAATAAATGTGAACCTGATGGCTATTTTGAACTATTCTTCTTTCCTTGCAGATTCCTGCAGCCCCCTGCAGCAAAGAGGCTGGCTTTTGAGTCTTTTTAGCAAATAGCCTGTCAGACTGCAGTCAGCAGGTTCCTAATGCCGTGCTCTGAACTTAAATTCTCTCATATCAAAGTTCATTTTCAGCACCGCATCAGATCCTGATCCAGTGCTAAATAATGGGTAAACTTAGCTTGCTCAATGTGACATACTCTGAATCGGGTTGGAAAGAGACAAAATCTACATTCTGAAATTGTATGTCTGAGCTTTTACAATCCTCTTGGTACTGAACCGGTTTGCCTTTGTATCATAAGCTACTGTGAGAAAATCCTAGTTTTGCAAAGGAGCTAAAAATACATTTAAAGAGAAAGAAATTCATTCAGCCCTGGAAGGAAATTTTAAGCCATTCTGTATGATCTTATGCAGATCTGTTCAGAGATTAGTCCTATTGAATCCAGTTTTACTTAACCTCCAGATAAATGCACACAGAAATACAATCTTTTTGCAAGGCTTCTTTTATTATTTAAACACAAAAGAGTTTTTTTTAATGACCACACCTTACTGTGGTCATTTGTCCCAACCACAGCCTTTTAACATAAACTCAGCTTCTTCAACTTTGCAGAGTGATGCTGTCATTTTTATCCCAGATCTGTGCAAGTGTAACTGTACCATTTCATCAACAAATCAAATGTACACAACAATATCGATAATCATTCCAGGTCAGTTTATTGATTTGATAAGCTACCCAGGAGATTTAGGTGGCAAGATGCAATATCTTGACACAGGAGATGGGCATCCCCAGAACCGGCAGGAAAATAACTAGGGAGGAAAATAAATACAATACCTTTACACTTCTCTATATTCAGGATGCTATTACTATAGTTCAAAAAGAGGCCAATGGTGTGGGTTTGTTTTTTTTTAAAAAAATCACATTTAATAACAAAATAACTTCTGCTCCTGATTATACTTTGAAATATGCCACCTGCTCCTGAATCAAGAGGCGACTATAATACCGACGTCCTGAAAATTAATTAGGGATGTATACCACTGCAACATATGACCCCATCCGGGAGCAGCAAATTGGCCCCCGAATCTGATCAGCCTAAGAGGTCTTGAATCCAGGACTTTAAATGGGAGGAGGGGGGCGGCAATCCAATGCAGTTATTGATTCGTTTCTTTAAAAAGGACAGAAAAAGAAATACCCCCTCTAAGTGCAGTTCTTTTTCCCTTACCCACTTCAAGGGCCCATGTCTCTCTCTTTCTCACACACACACACACAAACACACACCCTCAGCCCATCCCCATCCCCCTGCCCCCTGCAGCCCAAGAACGTCCCACAGATAGTCAATAGAGGGCTCTCCTCTTTCCAAATCCCCTCACCACGGCGTTGCTTTTATTTCGATCAATGACTCCCCCACCTACCCATTACATACATACACACACACACACACAAAACCCCGAGGCGAGGGGCATCGGAGCCAACCCCTGCAAAAAAAAAAAGAAAAAAATCCTCCAGGCCCGGATGCCAACGGCCCCACCCCCCTCCTCCAGGATTTGCCTTGAATCACCTGCAATCAGCCTGCGGTGCGGCTCCAGCAAGTTTGCAGGTGGGGCGGGACGGGGGGGGGGGAAGTCCCTCTATTGCGGTGGGTATCGGCGGCGGACGCAGCAGCAACCACTTAAGATTAATCCGGATGTGCAGCGGCGACTGAGTCGCGAAACTCCGCCTCTGTATGTGGGGCTGCCGAGCGGCGGCCACGGCCGAGAAAGGAGCAGCTTCCCCTTCTGAACAGGAAGAGGAGCCCTCTGGCGGGCACAGCCCACATCGGGGACCCCCGAAAGACGAGTCCCCGTCGGGGGTCTGGAAGGGTTAGATGCCCGGACCGGGATTAATTGGGTGGGATTAGGTATACGGCCAGATACCTTCAACCCTCAAATTCTGGATGCGCGCAACTCGCTTGCATCCTCGTCTGATCCTCCTAGTTCGGGCGGGTGACACTTTCCAGCCTAAAATGTGGTGGCTTTGGGGACCAGCGGGCTCTGCCAGTACAGCCTTTGTGAATCAGCATCCTTTCTTGGCAGTAAATGAAACTGATGTCAGCAGAATTGCTCTTCAGGCATACTGTACAGGCTGGGTCACAATTCTTACAACAATGGACTGACTTCCAGTGTCTCCATTGTAACGACACTGCCGAAAAGGCATTAAGGATTAACCTAATCCTGCGTAGGTTTTTCTCCGGTAATATTGTACTGCTAACTAGAGCATACAAAACATTTTGTATGCTCTAGTTAGACCAATTCTCGAACACAGCTCATCTGTCTGGAACCTGCACAGCATATTGGACATTAATACAATTGAGAGAGTCCAGAGATATTTTACAATATGAGTCCTCCACTCCTCTACTTGCAACAGAATACCTTATGCCACCAGACTTGAAATTTTAGGCTTAGACAACTTAGAACTATGCCACCTTCAGTCTGACCTAAGCGTAGTACATAAAATTATCCATTGCAATGTCCTACCCATCAATGACTACTTCAGCTTCAACCACAACAATATGCACGCATACAATAGATACAAACTCAAGGTAAACCGCACCAAACTCGATTGCAGGAAATACAACTTCAGCAACAGAATAGTCAATGCCTGGAATGCACTGACTGACTGGTTTCTTCCCAAAGCCCCTAAAACCTTAACCTCAGACTGTCTACTGTTGACCTCACCCCATTCCTAAGATGTCTGTAAGGGGCATGCATAAGTGCACCAGCGTGCCTACCATCCCTGTCCAAATCTTCCCTTTTATTCATATCCATTTCATGTATTAATAATCATGTTTATTCTTATATCTGTTATCTAACACATGCTTAACAAATAAACCAAATAAATAAAAATTGTGCTAGACTGCACTGCTAGGCTGGGACTACAGAGCCACCTCTGTGTCCACAGATGAACTGCACAACAGTGTGTCTTCTTTGAATCCAAAGGACTGTCAAGTATACATAAAGAAGATCAGCAGGTGCAAATATATGTACATTTTATCTCATGTATGCGGGTTTCCAAACACATAAAAACTCAGGGGGGCACACAGTAGCGTCAGCCTCATACCCCATGGACACCATGCCCACTCAAAGGATAAGGTATGTAGAGGTGCCCTTCTTTGGATATACTTGAGTGCAAGAACCAGAGGATCTCCATAGGGAAGAGGTAGAACTCCAAGATGGTGATCACAATGATGCATTCAAGGCCTTGCCCTTTTTAAAAAATGCATTGCCATCATATTTTTTTTTGACACAGACACCTTTTGAAAGATTTATGTAGAATGAGGATCCTTATACAGATAGTCTTCAATTTACGACTGGTTGCTTAGTGACTGTTTCAAATTATGACCCACCTGGAAAAGAAGACTTACAACCAGGATTTGATGTTCTGGTAGCCAGGCCCCCTCTGTAGTCACATGACCATGGTTTGGGTGCATGGCTGCATTTATGACCATGTTTAACAATGGCTTTACATTTTCAGTTTTGGCAAAACCACACTCATAGCAAACCATTGGTTTGTTTAATGACTGCCACCACCACTTTACGAATGCCATTTGCCACAAAAAAGGGGTCCATTATGGTCATATGTTCACACTACCTAAGTAGAATTCCAGATTGTATAGAGTGGTAGTTCTTAAACTGGGGTATTTATCATGGGAGTACTGACTCAAAAAGCAGACCCTATACCTGCAGAAAAATATGGAGGAGGAGGAGGAGGAGGAGGAGGAGGAGGAGGAGGAGGAGGAATCATCCCGAGAGAAATGGAGCAACTTATAATTACTGGTTTATGAATTGAGGATGTATATCAACCGCATCTGGACATTTTTGTAGTGGTAATGACATTACTTAAAGATTGGAGAAAGGGATAATCTGAACAAACAGCTTAGGAAATACTGAAAAGAGAGAGATAGGTTTTTTTATTCCCCACTTCCACTTTTAAACTTTGCTCATTTAGAGGGCTGTGGAGCTTTGCTTCCAGTAAGAATATTGCTACTCACTCTGAAGCATTTTATTGCAAAAAGTGAGTTTTATTTTCCTGCAAATCACAGTATTCCATCAAAAACCTGACTGGCCAAATACTCTGAGTAAATACAACTGAGTAAAGAAAAAATGGAGACAATTTAGTTCAACGTGCTTTTGGTAAACAGGAATTGCATACTTTGAGATTGAAGTCATCTTAAAACAGGATTATATTCAAGTCAATTTATCGATGAAAAATATTTCAGAATAAGGACAGGTGGGAGGAAACTATCACTAATGAACTAACCAATCAACTAACTAACTACCTAACTAAATGTGGGCTATAACTAACTAACTTGCACTGTCAGCTCATAAAGAAACTTGGTGCCTTAACATGCTGGAATTCAGGGCCCAGTATCTACATGAAATTGAACAAAATATGGAGGGGGGAAAAACTCAGCATTAATCCCTCACTTGTAATTTCTGTTTGGCACCTGCTCTAATTTTCACAACTCACCTTTTTTAAAATAACCAACTGCATTTTATTACAAAATCTATAAAGTGCGCAAACCTGCATCAGAAAGATAAGTGGTACTTTTTATAATGGCTAGCAACAATGTCATTTCTTCATGCATACTCTACAGGCTTGCTTGAATGTGCAAAAGAGTTGACAGCTTCCTACACCCTCTTTACAATTATTAGCGGTTCAAACACAGTGGAGGTACTGCTGCACCTTGCTATTCACCCCAGACCTCACTGTGATTTTTCAGAACTTGTAGCAAGGTGCTCGTTTCTGCCAAAACAATGGAGCTGGAGTAGTAGTAGCCAAGAGGAAGAAGAGGCTTGAAAAGGAGAAAGAAAAGCTAGATCAGAAATGGGGCTCCATGTAACTGAATGCGGTTAAGAAAAGAACATTTGCAAAGACCCCGAACCGGACACCTGAATTGATGATGCTTCTATCTCTAGCACAATCTGCAATCAGTACCAAAAAAAAAAAAGTATCCTGCCCCCTCCAACCCCTTCTGGAATAAGTGAAGATTTTGAAACCAAATCCTTGTACTACTGACTTCCGCCTTTTCAAAAAAATATACAAGAGTCTGTTTCACCATGTTCTGTGCAGTGTACAGTTTCCTGACTGTAAATGTTTCACATGAAGACAATGAGATGTTCTGCAATTTCCATTTTTCTAAGGAGATTCCACAGCTTAACATGGTCGACCCCATTTCGAAGGCCTTTCTATAATCAAGGAAGCATGCACTGACTTGTCTTTCCCAATTTTCCAGCATGCATCAGCAATGTCTTTTGTTTCTCTGCATTTCCTTTATTTTATTTTGCTGTTTTTAAAATGACAGAGAAACAGAAAAATGTTTAAAAAAAACCCAAAATAAAAATATACATTGTCAAAGAAAAAAACCCACATAAAATGTCTTAAGGGGAAAATACAACAAAAATAGCTATAACATAAAATTTAGCTATATAGGTATAATTATCTAATGCAATTATTCAAGTACATGTATTTTTCTAATACATTCATATAACTATCTCAGTTTTGTGTTGGATGTTCATAAACATTATATTGGATAGTGTTGGATTTTCATAGGCATTATGAAATAGGCTCTTCTAAAGAAAATACTTTTAAAAGTAGACCAACTTTCTCCTCATTCCCAATCTTTATATACAACAATATGTTTTAATTTAGAGGTTAACAGGCAATACACTACAGTAGTTGGTTTACATAGCATGCAAAACCACAAGCCCAGCTGACAAAACTGAACTGCTGTTTTTATGATTGCAGTCTCCAGCTAAACCATATTGTGGTTTAATGGGATTGGTCCAGTTTGCACAACATTCCAAAACAAAGTCAGGGTTCCCACCCCAAACCACAAACAGCCCAGCTCATTTTAATCTGAATGTTAAATTGAATGTTAAATTGAATGTTAACAAGATTGCATAATTAATAAGGCCCAAATGTTCAGACTTGTAAAACTTCAATCACAACTAAGGGCACTGTGCCTACATATGTTTGATCATGGAGTCCTTTCTGGAAAATGAAAGAAGTATGCTGAAGAAAAAAATATTAGGATGGGAATGAATGGGAAAAACAAAGTAAAAAAAAAAACCAATTCTCCATATTTACCTATGTTAAATTGGTTTTCTTACAGTTTAGTTTCTTTTCTACTTGAATAGTTCAGCAAATGGTGGCTTCCATGCTGACCCCAAGAGACAGAAAATGTAAATCAGATAGAATAATAGTGATGAAGTGATCCATAAAATTTAAAGAACTGTAAAAGTATATTTAATTTAAAAACAGCAACATTACATTGGGTTTCCTTTTGGTTATCATTGACAAGATAATCATTTGCTTGAGATATTCTTGGAAAAGATTCTTAATTCTGAGATTTTTATCAGTGGTCTTAAGCTTTCACTGAAATGGCCATGCCTTAGTAAGTTATTCATATATCCATCCAAAGCAAATTTATATATATTTATATATATCCATCTTGGCAAATTTAAGACTTGTGGAAATCCACTCCCAGAATTCCTGAGCTAACATGACTGGAGGAGGAATTCTGGGAATTGAAGTCCACATGCCTTAAAGCTGTCAAGTTTGAAGACCCCTGATCCAAAGCATCGGAACTAGTTCTTTGAATTGGGGATGAATGTGGGATCTTCTACTTGCAAATCATGTAATGTAATTTTTTGCTCTCTGGACACTTTCTAAAAATACTAAATAGGGCACATTTTAAAAATATTTTTGCAAGTATCTTCAAGATTTGGGAAATAACTTTGATTTCACAGACCTGAAGATGTCTTGTGGGACCTCCAAGGACCACACTTTTAGAAACAGTGATATACACTTCATGAGATCGCCCCCATGAAAAAGATGAACATAGAATGTAATGCTTATTTGAAAAGAGAATGACATGAATGGGCTACATCTCTATTGTAATAAGTTTGCATCTTGTTTCTTTCAAAGTAACAGATTATCAAGAATCTGCCACCAGATTTTGCCCCAAAAGAGAGAAAGGCTATAGCCAAATCATTTCAAGTAGGTAAAAGACCTGAAATATGTCTACTGAGATTAAGACAAACTCATCGCTTGTGATATACAATAGAAATAAGGTTCAGATAATATATTTATAAATATATAAATGCTTAAACATTTAGTAAAACCTATACATGTACCTAATGTGCCTTTGGGAAGAAGCAATGTGATTAAAGCACAGGAAAGAAATAGTATCCAGATATATCCAATTTATAAACAGTTTCTTGCACAACTTGGGACAGCCAAGAGCAATAGAGGCATAATAGTTTGTCTCACACAAATTCATTCCCTCCAGATGTGTTGGAAAGCCCATTCTTATCCTCCACTCGTCTCGCACTATTAGGAATTATTGTAATCCCGCGCATCTGGAGGGCCTATGCTGGAAAGGGCGGTAATTTAGCATCAGAACCTAAACCTTAACGACACCGTCCTCCTCTTTTCCTACAGTACAGGTTATTATAATCATATGCTTGGAGAAATTGCACCCGTAGAACGGAGATTACAATTCTCGCTGCGGATGCCTCGAAAAATTGTCGAGGGTGAGACCAACAGTGTTTGGATTCCTAGAAGAGCCCGGAAATCGAAAGAAAGATGACTGTCTTCCTGTCCTTGCCTTTTTGCTTTCCCCCGCTCTCGATTTCGCTAAAAGACTCAGCTGCCTTACAATGGGGGTGGGTGAGGAAGGGGTGTGATTTCATAGGTTGGTTTGTTCACGTCCGAATGAATCGGAGGAAGGCAAAGGCTTCTGGAGCGGCAGCCCTCCACAGCTTCGCTCTGCTTCGGAGCCAGGATTGGCTCAGCTCCTTCATGCAAGTCCCAGTCTTGGCTGCGGTTCAGAAAAGGACACAGGAAGAAAATAAATATATAAACACCCTTTGTCTAAAATGATAGAGGGTTTCCCAGCTTGAGCAGGGAGTTAGACTAGAAGACCGCCAAGGTCCCTTTCAACTCGGTTATTCTGTTAAAAAAAAAAAAAACTACACCCCCTCCCTGCAAATCACCTCAAGGGGCTTTTATACTGCAAACTCAAATTTAACGCTCCCCGCCAATGCACTGCAATTTTGCAGTACAGTATTATACAAATGTATGCAGTAACTCTGGTCAATTCGAATAAGTAGCAGAGCACTTCACTGTCTGCTGTCCGAATAGAAGCCACCAGAAAACAAGCTCAGGATTTACTGTATGCAGAAAAGAGTCATCCTGTAGGGAGATGAGTGGCATAAAAATTTAATAAAAAGTATAAATAATAAGCAAATGAGGGGCCCATATCACAAGATGGCTGTAAGCCATATTGAGCTGTTTTGAACTATCGAGCTGTGCTGAACCCCTTGTTTAACCTGTCCATTATGGTGGAATGCAAGCCCCTATTCAGAAGCTCTGCTCAGGAGTGCATCAGCTTTCTTCATCTTGGTGACTTTCACCTGAGTTGATACTAGAACATCCAGAATTCCCTGCCAGCATAGCCATGGCGGAACTTTTTAAAGACCCCTTAGAGCCCCAGGACATAATTTTCATCTGAGTGACCTCCCCTTTGTTCTGATTTGTACCCTCTTGTCAACATAAACATCCTTTGGTTTTTGTGTATTAAAACCAATCACCCAGTAAATAGGAATGTGGGGGTAGATATCAAAATACTGAAAAAAAGTTTGGGATTATATTCGATATTCTCATTTGAAGAATTTGGTTGTCCAGTAAATTTCATGTCTGGACAGAGATTTAAAGCTATTCATTTATGTTCTTTTTGAGATGTTGAACTTGCCAATAGTGTTTAGGTATTGATGCTGATTTAGGAATGACTGGTTATTTGTATCTCTATCCCTGTGCTGTTGTGGTAATAGATATTTTGAACAGAGAGTTCACATATCTACCCTCAAACATGGCTATTTTTGTATGGTGCCTGCTTTTTGTGCTAATTAAGAACTGGATTTTGCTGGCAGCTGCAAGAAAACAGATGGGAATAAAAATACAAGAGCCAACAGAGCTCATCACAAATTAGATATTGGAAAAGGTTACAAGGGACCACCCTGTTGTTCCAACTGAGATAACTCAAGAGAGTTAGGCAGAGACTAGAAGTGACCACTGCAACAAACCCCTGGTGTCACTGTCCAAAAGAGACTAGGCAAAGAGTTTGTGAACAATTACAGCACAGCAGCCAAGATTTTATAAAACTGTGAAGTCTTGAAAGACTTCCACTGCTTCCCTTCACACTGGGAAAGACTAGAAACAGCACTTTAGTCGGCATTCCTCACACAAAAGCTTCCCTCCCTATGAATAAAGTGTCCCCTCCTTCACTTTGTCATAAATAGTCAGGGAAGGGGAAGAAGAGTCGCAATGGACAATGGTAATTCCTTAGGACCAATTCTGCAATCCCTTCTGAGTAGATATGCATAGGATGGTGCTGTAACAAGCTACTCCAAGAATTTGTGACATCCAAACTTAAAGTCAGCTTCTGATACTTTAAAAATCTCTGGTTAAGCCAGTGTGGAAGTTGCTCTTGAGCAGCATTTATGGGTAGGTTTTAGATGCACATATGTGCAACCACTTCACAAATGCTTAGAGAGCAGAACATGGCAGAAATAACAAAAACCTCTGCAAAGCAGTTCCTATAAATCTTAAGCTTGCAATACTCTGTTTAAATAAAAATTATTCTCTAAAATGAAAATGGATTCTCCCATACACACATACAAATCATAAGCAGGATGCGTGTTGCCTTTTGCTTCCCTGCCCCTTCCCTAACCCAAGAACAGAAGCAGGCTTCATTTTCATAATAAAAGACACATTTAGAACAGTTTAACCTTTTCCCATCAAGCCTGCCCTATCCAACCAGACTGCCTGGGGAGCTGCAGTAATTATAACCTTCAACTGTAATAATTGCTGCAGTAATTATAATCTTCAATTTATTGTACTTTTCATCTCTTCAATGGGAAATATTTATTTACCGCTGCCCAGATATGTAGCCCTAACCCGAATATCTGAAAGATTAATGGCTCAAGAAATGGCATCAAGTAATTAAGACTCTCTTGCTAATCCAGATTTTGCCTTACAAGGAAACTGCTCAAGTTTGGGAGCATTGCCTGATAGAAAGGGAGACAAAAAAGAATGAAGATTCTTATTTTTCCTGACTGATAAATTGAGGGACCTAGTGTTTTATGTTATCCATTAATCCATTTTATTTGTTAACACTTATAAAACAAATAACATAAATTCATAGTACATAAAGTAGAGAAGAAAACAGTAAGTGGAGATAAACAGATAATAAACAGTTTATTTGCTATATATCAAGAATAACAAATAGGTCATTATAGTAGGTTAATGCCCAGATTTAATTGCATAAATTATCCATTAATCTGGAAATCATTTGCAAAGAATATTAAAGCACAAAAGGAAAAAAATTGGAAATTACTGGAAGCTGCTTTACTACACAGGAACCCTTCCAAATATTTATTATGCAGGAAAATTGGGAGGGATGTTATTTTGCCCAAGACTCTTATTAATGATGAGCATCTTTATGTAACCCATTGCAAGTCTTAAAATTATGAAGTCTCTCTACTGATTTTCCCTACTACAGCATGCAAAACTTTCAAAAGCCTGTATAATTTCTAATTTATTTTGGAACGGTGGAAATTCCAGACAGTCTATTGTTTCACTGTGTAATGATGAATTAAGCTTTTCTCTCACTCCTCAAGTGAAGACGGGAGACCTTGAAAGTTGACAAGGTCAAACTTTGTTATCCCTGAGGAGAGATAACCTGAGAATCCTTACAACGGGGAAATCATTTGCTTCCTTTCTTTAAACCCGGTCTACCGCGTTTTTCTAATGGTTGGATTCATACGCTGCGCTAAAAAAAAAAGTGAACATGTTTCGTGTGCGTGTGTGAAGACCGTTTTTGCTTAACGAAGCACGATTTTAAAATGCACGCGAACCTTGTCTTCTATTCGCACACACATGTCCACTAAAGAAACCTGCTGACGCGTGAAGCGGCAATCTGTTTGTGACAAGTCCACGACGTTCGTTCAGCTCCTTAAAAACCAATTTATTATTATTTCTCCACGGCTGACTGGACACGCAGTTCAGCTGCGGAAGCGTAGATGGTTGCAGTCCGGTCTAGAAACCGTAACGGTACAGGAAGGGGTTGGCTCAAGACCGCGGAGCCGTGCGTGGCCAGCAACGGCGGACGAATCTGGAGGAATAGATCCGGGGTGGGGAAAGGAAAGAAAGAACAAAAGGAGAGAGGCGGCCCGCTCTTCCACTCGTGTGTTCGCTTATGTATCTTCTCGTTTAGTCCCCTGAGTTACTTTAAACGTCGAAAGTGCGTCGCGAAGTACTTGCAGAAATCGCGACCCTTGAGATTTAAGTCCACCCAACCCCGGATGGTCTGAGCTGGCTCACCGGGAGCCCGACCGGAGTGAAGACGGCCGCAGCTCGGGGTCATTTCTCTTTCCCGGGGCACTGCAGCCGTTAACTCTTGCACACCCACAGGTAACGATTTGGAAACGATGTGGGGGCAAATTCAATACATACGACGTTGTGATTTTATTGTGCTAGACACGGAGAGGAAGGGATGGGGTTGCATTGTTCGTGACGAAGGCTGCGTCGACCCACCAGGCGGCTTAGGCTCGTTTTCGTCCTCATTTGCAGTCCTGACACACTTTGAGGGAAATTTCCCGTTGATTTCAGGGAACAAAGACAACGAAGTGGCAGATAGGTTACCTTGAATGTCAGGGCTCAACCCCTGAATATAAAAGAAAGGGGGGGGGGGAATACAGAGCATCTTTACTCCACCGTTGTGTAGTCAATAAATAAGTTGCATAAAATGCTTCCAATCTTCATAGGTATTCGTTTGGAATCAAAATCTTATTTTAAAATAAGTAGAATGTCTATACAAGTGAACATAAATAAGACCCAAGAGTGTAGGATGAGCTGGTCATGAAGATGGATGAATGAAAGTTCTCCTGCCATCCTAAACCAGCCACCTCTTTTCTTCCAGGAGTTGAATAACAATTGCTTCAGATTTCCCATCAGAAAAGTCTGTGGTCATTGTTAGCCGTGAGCTGCAATAACATTTCTGAAGGGCATCTGATTGAAAAAGATTAACCCATATTTGTACTTGGGGGGGGGGAGGATTCTCTAACAACGGTTCCATTTTATGGAATTGTTTAAATTGTCCCTAAATGGCAATTGGGGAGTTCAAATAAGTTGGGACTGGAGCTGGTATTCAGCAGGTTCTGATTAGTTCTGGAGAACCGGTGGCGGAAATTTTGAGTAGTTTGGAGAACCAGCAAATACCACTTCTGACTGGAAATTTTACAGTATCCTTCCCCTGCCACACCCACCAAGCCACTCCCACAGAACCGGTTGTAAAAAAAAATTGAATCCCACCACTGGTTGGGACATACAATTCCCCTTTGATATGACATGGCTTTAAGTCAATTTTGAGAGAAGCTGATATTTTGAGAGAAGCTGATATCCCTGATATTTCTTTTAGATTCCTTTCAAGGTCAAGGAACTGAAACACAGAGCTTCCTGCAAATGACCTTGTCAAAACAATGAAGAACTAGATTTCTGATTGCAGTGTTCCTAAAACAAGTACCTTAATATCGGAATAGGCAGCTTTAGAGATTGAGGGCCCAACCACTAAGGGTCAAATAAGTGTTTGACATCACTGGAAGAAGAAAATTGAACATTTTTGGACTATATTTTTCATTATATTTGGTCTTGAGATTTTTTGAGAGTGAAAAAAGGAATATTTTACCTTCCTTCTTATTTCCTAAAAACCGTATTTCCATTTTTAAGTCAAATATCATGACTTGGAAATCAGGTAATTTTGTGACCAAATTTCACTAGCACAATTTCAGTATGCTTTGGGATGACCCCATCTGTAAATAATAATGTAGTAATGGTTTATAAATATTCATCAAAATTCACCAACTATTTCATCAAATATACTTATTTGGAAAGTAAGGTTCTTGAGCTTACTTAAGGCCAAATACAACACAATTGTGAACATGCTTACTTAGAAGTAAGTCCTACTATTTTTTATAGTATTTGCAACCACATTTAAGGGATTGTAAGGCTATGAATTTATGGCTTGCTTACATTCTCAAGAATTTCCTAGCAAATTCTAAAATGCTGCTCTTCACAATATTGCTTTAATTAAATTTACTATAATCAGTCATCGGTCAGCCTGTAACAGGCCAAACACATTCTCAGGCTCAAGACAGTTCAGCTTTTCTAGTCAGATTAGGTAAAATATTACTTGTCAGTTGCATTATTTGCAACAAAAGACCCACCTTACAGGGTTGTTGTACAAATTACTGAGGTAATAGTTATTTTCAAGTGCTGTACAATGCTACTGAATTTTGTCCATTTTAAAGAAAGAAATAGACTTGAAGGGTGCTAAATCCTGCTTTCGATAGTAAGGATTGATTGAATAAAACCTCACAGTACGATTTCTTTAATATAGAAATTCTGCTTGTTTAAATTTTTTAGCTTTTGTTTTCCTGATTTCCCCTCCCCCTTTCCCTTATGCTCTTGTTTCCTAACTTCAACTTGCTGATACTATGGCTTGTATATTTCAGGAATCATTTTGTTCAAGCAGGTTAAAGATGATGAGAGAAGAGGAGAACCTGGTAAAAAAGGAGGAAATTATGTCAGAGGAGGAAGAGGTGAAAGAGGAGGAAATATTCACAGTTATAGCGGATGAAGAACACCTGGTGAAAGAAGAGAGAATATTTGAGGAGGAGGAAGATGAGGAGGAAGAAGAAGAAGATGATGAGGATAGTCTGGTGAAAATAGAGGTGATTCTCCCAGAGGATGAAGAAAATCTAGTAAAAGAAGAGGTACTTCTTCCAGAAGAAACTTCCCTTCTGGAAGAATATGAAATCAATGTTTTTCAAATCCAAGGGGATGAGATACCCTGTGACAGTGATCTCGGTCCTGAGATCTCAGGTTATATTCCAAGAAAGAGACATTGTAAAACCATGCCACGGGCAGGAACTGTTGGAGAACCCAACCAAGCCACAGCCCGGAAGGGTGGAAGAATCTATAAGTGCCCTGACTGTGGAAAAATATTTAAGCGCTGTTCACCACTTATCAGACACCGAAGAACCCATACTGGAGAGAAACCTTACGTTTGCCGTGAATGCTTGAAACGTTTCAGTGACAGCTCAGCCCTTGTGAAGCACCAAAGAATCCATGCAGGAGAGAAACCTTATACATGTCCTGAGTGCGGTAAGAGCTTTTCCCAAAGCTCAACCCTGATTGCACATCAGAGAATACATACTGGAGAGAAACCATATAAATGCCCTGACTGTGGGAAGAGTTTTAGCGTGAGCTCTAACCTTGTTGCTCATCAAAGAATCCACACAGGAGAAAAACCTTTTGGGTGCCCTGTCTGTTTAAAAGGTTTTCTGGTCAGCTCCCATCTTATCAGACACTTGAGAATACATACTGCAGAGAAACCTTATATTTGTAGAGAATGTGGAGAATGCTTTACCCAAAGCTCTCACCTTGTTGTTCACAAGAGAATCCACACGGGAGAAAAACCCTATCTGTGTTCTGAGTGTGGGAAAAATTACCGTGGGATCTCCGATCTGATTCAGCATCAAAGGATTCACACAGGAGAGAAGCCCTACAAATGCACAGAGTGCGGCAAGTGCTTCAGCCAAAGCTCATGTCTCAAGAAGCACCAGCGAATCCACACAGGCGAGAAACCTTACATGTGCCTCAGGTGTGGGAAGAGATTTAACCGGAATTCACATCTGACTAGGCATCAAAAAACCCATGTTGGCTAATTTTTAAAGATGAGTTCTCAGCAAATTCCTCTCGCTTGCAGCCCCCGAAGAAGTAACTATGGATGTCTCAAACAGTGATCTATTCCTTATCTCCTTTTGTCCAAATCCCTTGAACTTATCCTGCAAGAGTATAAAAAGATTTGGCTATGTTACCAGGATGCCTTTGCAATGTTTTCTTCTCTGGCACTGGTTAAGATCTTCTTTCTAGATTCCCTCCTTTCCATCCAAGATTCTAATAGGATCCTTAGAATCTTCCCTGGAATATCCATACTTTTCCTTGTTATGATTTTGAAAATGACATCCCATTTCAAACACCTCCAGGCATAACAGCCCTTACTTTTTCCCCGGATTGTGAGAATATCTTAACCTTCTACTATCCCTCAGGTTTCAACAGTGAAAGAATTGAAAGCTGTGAAAGGTTGTGTTGATAGCAGTGGAGGAGAAACAATTAGCACTCTTACCAAACCCTGTGATGACATCAACCTCTTTTATTTGTAATGCAGTAGCACATGAAAACCGCATATATTATTACATGAAATTGACATACATCCTCCAGTGGACTGCTTCATGGTTTCATGCTGCTACCGTTTAAAGCCAATGGAAATCTGCATGTGAGGAAAACCTGCTTTACTTTGTCCATTATGGGGTTTGTTGTAAGGCAAAGAAGTGGTCAGGATTTAGTGTACTTCCTTGACCCAATGACATACCTTTATTTTTTTAATAGTAGACTATAGAAACTTCACTGCTTGGAATCTGAGATATAAACTTGATCATCCTATGCTTGGTGACTCTTCATTGTGGCTGTTCCCAAAGCTGGCAGGTGGGTGGGGGGTGGGGAAGGTCATAGAATACTTGCTGAGAGCACATTCTTGTATGCAGCAGACCCTAGATTTAATCCCTTCAGCTTAAAACATCTTGGGTAACATGAGGGGGAAAGACTGTTGCTATAGAACAGTACTGATAATTGGAATAAAAAGTGCTGGGTGAAACAGCTGAACGATCTGAGCTCCGGTTCTTGGCATCTGTCTCCACGGATGTCATGTTACACCCTAAGAAGCACAAAAAGCAGATGGCCCTCCTTGGTATTCTGAAGGACGATCTGGCCTCTTATGTAGCCTGGTCACTACCATGCATTTGTAGGCTTGTAGTGACAATATCAGAGGTTTAAATTATCAATGCAATTTTTTTACTTTTTAGTGGAGTTTATTAAACATTTTGGAGTAGATTTCTCTGTCAAGTGACGATAAGATAGTGGCTATAGGTTTCAGTGATACCACTGAGATTCTTGCTTGGTGGCCTTTGGCAAGTATTTTCTTGGTGTAAGTCAACCCTGTGAAATTTGCAGTATGGGGATTATAGCCCTTATTTGCTTATAAAATTGTTGGGTTTGGGATAATTTTCACACCCCTTGATGGGAAAATTCAAGTGAGTTCTTCTAATAGGTGTAGTTATAGCAGCCCCTCCCCCCTGCCAAAGTTACAATGCCTGCAGTGCCCTCACAGACCGACCAAACGCAGAGATGCTGCAGTATGAGCCCTCCACCTAATTCCCCCTTCCCATCCTGCCCTGCTAGGTCCCCACAGACACTGGGCCTGCTTTGCCACCCCAACCGGTTCCATACACTCTACCCCACCCCCATCACTGCTCACTTTTTGAAGAGATTCAGAATTCAGGAAGTCAGGGTGGGGAAAGGGGACAGGCCCCTCTGTTGCTGGGCCATTGCTAGGCCATGTGGCATAACTGAAAAGAAATCCTGGCCGTTTTTATTTTATCGCTAGTCTTTGCTCCCCAGGCATTAGCTACGCTAGTTTTATGCTAGTGCAGCTAATGCTGGGGGAGCTAAGACTAACAATAAAAGGAAAACGGCAGGATTTCTTCTTAATTTTGCCACGTGGACCAGGAACAGGTTGGGCCTGGCCTCCTTCCCTACCTAGACCTCCTTAGCTCTGGGGATCTTTGAAAGGTAAGCATGCTATTGTGATGGACTGAGATGAAGAGGAGGCCCATAGGACCGTGAGGACCCCAAAGGGCAGGAAGTGGAACGGATATCAGGGTGGGGAGAGCCCTTGGGAAGCCCAGTGCAGGTTGGTTTGTGCCTGCATTAAGCCTCCCAGCCTCCCACGCTTAATGACAATGACAAATGTATTGGGGAAAAACAGATGGGAGGTCATTAATGAGGCAATTTCTTTAGAGATCATACTGACTGCTGACAGTAATAAGCAGGCTCCATTACAGTTGTAACTCAAGGGCTACCTGTATTTTTGGTGAGTGCTACCCTAGTTAGAAAGGTCTTTATGCAAATAAAGATGTCTCTCCTAGATGATTAGAACCCACATAAGGAAAACAAGTATTGACCTATTGGAGGGATAATTTTAGCAACAGAAAATCTTCAGTTTTCCATTATTTTCTTGAAAGAAACTTATTAGAATAAGAGAGAGCTTCTCGCTATGGAAATCTTCCTTGGTGCTTACAGAACTTACGGTAATGGGAGAATGAGGAGCCAGGAAAGATGATGACTAATAGGCTTGCCCCAATCTCTACATGAGAATCACTGAGGAGTAAAAATTTCAGAATACTATACAAATCTGTTCTGAACATGAGCAAGAGAAGTTCTTGCCTTCCCTTGAGGCAACTGTGATAGCTGACCCTAATTTCAGCTGAAGAGCAGATGGAAGACTTATTTTCTGAGAAATAAGGAGAAAAAAGACTGATGCCTTAATTTGGATGGCTGCAGAATAAATAAAGTAGTATTTGGATGTTTCTCTTCTTTGCCCTTTAAAGCCCTGCTCCAGTTTATATCAGAATGTTCTCCATCCCATTATGGTTCAGATGTATTATTCTGCTTATACCTTGCAAAAAGTACCCGATAGTTTTCTACTTCTGGTATTGAGAAAAGTGTGTTGTGGCTTTTGTTTGACTTGGTTCTTGAACATCAAAACAAGATAATGTGTTACACTCCTAAAATATATACATGTCATATGATTACCAGTGATTTGTACTGTTGTGCAGTGCATGCCCATCCATGCTTTTTCAGAAGTTCAGTGTATTTGCAGAGATATGTATATAAAGATATGTATATAAAGGAAGGAAGGCTACAGTATTTCAAACACAAAAAATAGAATGGTTTTAGATTTAAAAAAAAGTTGAGGCTCCCCAATCCTATATTTCTATTTTTGATGTATTGCAGCCAATATTCTATAGTATAGTTAGTTTTGTTTTAAATTGAAAGTGGCAAATCATTTTTGTCTTGTTTGCAATGCGTTAATTAAATTGATGTTGAGGAAAGGAAAATTGGAGGGTGCATCATATAATAGTAACATAAAATAATATACATTTAACCCCTTGAGCAAATTGTACCAGGACTGGTGCCCAAGGGACATGGTGAACTGTATCAAATATATGGGGTATGGGCCAGGTTTCAAACCATCTTCCATTTGTCTTGTATTTTCTGCAACACAATCTTAAATCCCATTTTTTGGATACTCCCAACTATTTCCAAAGCAAAGTATGCTTTTAATGACTAATTCAAGCACTAGTTAGAATTCTGTAAAAGCATCATAAGGTGGATGTTGTACTTAATACTCATTGAAAGTACTTGAAATAACTAGTAAAGCACAGTGTTGGATTCACTTAAGATACTGTATTATAATCTACTTTTGCATTGTTTGGCACTTCTGAACTAAGGAGTTCAAGGGAATGTAAATTTAAATGGAGGCCCATGTGGTAAATGTACATAGCAAATATCATTATCATTTCTGTATTACATAAGGAAGGTTATCACACTGTGCTGTACTTTATCCTGGTTGAAAGCGGAGCACAGAAATCAAGCTATGGTTTGAAATTTACACATGCACACTGCTTTAATTCTGATAAATATCTGTGGAGATCCATAGGTTGTCATGGTTGTTCCAAAGGTGCTTTTTCAAAAGGCAGCTGGACTTTCTTTGTTTTTCCTTGAAAATATTTCGCTTCTCATTTAGAAGCTTCTTTAGTTGTGACTGAATAGTGGAAAATGGAAGGATTTATATTCCTTGCAGTCATCTGTTCATTAGTACTTTTTCTGAGAGTTGTTGAGGCCACTTGGAGATTTATCTGTGCCTTCAGGGTGTGATAGTGCAAATGGGTGTGGAACCTTCTTGGAACTGCTATCATTTAATTCAGACACCAGTTTTGACCACAAGCATCAAAGGACATGATACAGTATTTTTCCCTCCTCTTTTGAAAATATATGGATTGAATACTCACTTAGCATTAAAAGTGGACATACAGTATAATATATTGAATGGCTGGGTCCACACAATTTACTAGACTAGGATATAATAGTTGTGGGGAATTTATGATTCAGCATCTTGTAGAAATCCAGGCACAGTCTTAGTTTCCTACGAACTACACTACCACTTTAAACAATATGTGATTTAAAAACAAACAAACTTGTTGGGCATTGCTTGTTATGTGAACACAGCTAATGTATTTTAGTCCATTTTAAAGTACTGCATTGAGCCAATTGTATATACCAGATTTCATTCTGATAGTTCAATGGTCAAGATAATTCATCTACCCAAAAATGCTTAATCAAAGTGTTATGAAATGTTTAAAAAAATAAAAAATGATACAAACTAGAAGAATTCCAAATCAACTGTCCCTGAAAGGGCCTTCTTTCAATAAATTTTCTATAATGCTGTTTTTTTCTCTTTTCAAGCACTATTTCTGTTTGGAATAGCAGATTGTAGCAAAGCCATGCCAAAGGAGGTAGCATCGACCAACTTCTAAATGAAATGAGCTACAATATTACTTCATTTCCCTTGAAGCAAATTCAGACAATATGCCCAGAGGCAGAGGTGAACTAGCCACAAGGGAAAATACAAACTTCAGAATATTGTTGCTCAGAAGTTAAGCCTCAGTATGGAAAACATTTAAAGTCATAACAAACTTGCCTGAGAGTAAACTTTGGTCAGTTCTGTATTTATCTTTCATTATCATCTTTAAAAGTACCTTAGGGCAGGATGCATAGCTCACCTCCTACTTGATCTTCACAACTATCTTGTAAATTAGATTAGATTGAGAAATGGTTACTGTAAGGTTTTTAATGAAGGAGTAATTTAAATTCCTGGTTCATAAAACATAATAAATCACTCAGGCTGGTAACCAGGAAAGTTCATAGAACTGCATCCTCTTTGTCTTGTCTCATGCAAGTCTTTAATTATGGTCAGTGGTTTCCACATAACTGTACATGTCTGAACCTGTAGACATTTCCAATTAATACCTGAATTTGAAAGTGACAATTGACCTTGTTAGATCCTGGGAACCAAAATTGGCAGCTGCCCTAAATCGTGTTACAGGTACAGTATGGGAAAATATGGATCATGAACTTGCTACCTCTTTTATCTCCATCCTGATTAAGGAGCTATTGAGGATGGAGATAAGGAGGTAGCACGTTCATTCCCATTAACCAAGCTAAGTAACTTTGCATTTCATATGGATAACTATTCCATCTCCTTAACAACTGAAGCCTAATTACTGTAATTAATGTATTATATTGTCTCTCAGTTTATCACATTTTGGACTGTCTCTTGGAAAAGATTTGGCTCCAATGCTGCTCTGAAATGAAAACACTTGACATGTAACATGGGGATGTATAGATGTTTGAGGGGTATGGTGTGAAACATGCTCTCCTGAGCTTTCACAGGCTGAAACAGGCCATCCAGAGATAATGTCTAAAAGGAATAGTAGCATTTTGGGGGAAGACATTTGTAGATGTTGGACCATAAAGCTTCTGAAAGGAACACCGTTCCCATTCCCCATTGAAATCACTGGCAAGTAGACTCCAATTCCTGCATTTGGAGGCTACTTTAGAGGTGACGGGTGGGAGTGAGCAACAGAATCTGGCAGCAGAATCTCGAACTGCCTCTGGATTTTGGCTATGGGTTTTCTATACCCACACCAGCTCCTTCTGACCATTCTTACAAGACATAGCAATACTAGGTGTTTCTGCCAACTGGTGGATATGAGCAAGGTAAGATACTGCGGTATCCCAAGGAAGAATATTCTATTCACTTTTTTCCAGTTTAGTGTTTAAAGCATCAGCCTAGAAACCAGGAGACTTGTGAGTTCTAATCCCAATTTAGGCATGAAAGCCAGCTGGGTGACTTTGGACCAGTCATTCTCTCAGCCCATACTTTTAACATTTTCCTAATATTGTCTGACAAGAAGAAACCAAAAAATGGATAGTTTCCCCCCTGGATGTAGTATAGTGATGAAAAGGATACTATAGATGACTTGGTAACGAGGATAATTCAAAGGATCCAGAAAGATTACTGAATTTGTCCATGTTGAATTCATGTATTTCATTGACTCACATTACGCGGAACCAACTCAAATAGAG